AGAGAGAGAGAGAGAGAGAGAGAGAGAGAGAGAGAGAGAGAGAGAGAGAGTCGTGATTCCTGGTGACGTGGCGATCTGACAGGTCACCACGACAGAGAACAAGTTATTGCTTCGGAGCTCGGACTCGCGCGTGCGCGCGCGCGCGCGCGCGCGAGAGAGAGAGAGAGAGAGAGAGAGAGAGAGAGAGAGAGAGAGAGAGAGAGAGAGGACTGATGACACGTGGGGTGTAGTGATCCTGGCTGTTGATCTGCTCATGTGTGGTGAGAGCCAATTTCTGGTTGTGGTCCTGCCCCATCTACGGTGACGAGCGATCTTTTTTCTTTTTGTGTTTCCACCACGTCCTGGCAATGTGTAGATTATCGACGTTTTCTAGGATCGCCCAGGAGGGCCGCCCTCACTGAGGGGGTACTTGAACTACCGGTAGTCCCACGGATTTTTTCAGTTCGTTTCTCTTCTCTTCTTCTTTGTCCTCTTGGTCAATCTATATGTATATATATATCTTTACCTCTTTGCCTTTTGGCTGCGTGCAATTGGGTCCTTGTGACACACAGGGATGGGGGCAGCCAGCGCTCAACCTGTCATCCACGTGGCTGGCCTTGTACGTAAGAGGTTATGAGCAGGTGGAGCTTTCCTTACCTCCTTCCCCTTCCCCTTTTTTCCTTGTCCTTTTTTCTTTTCCCTTTTTTGCGCTCTGATTCACAATGTGACAATATATATCTCGTTAAACAGAGCTGCCCGGTAAACTGTAGGCAGAGAGGGAGAAGACGACAAGAAACGAGGGGCTGTGACAAATTGTTTCGTCGGAGTTTCACCGACTCATCAGGAGGCTGAACCCTATATGTATCATGGTCAGATGCCTCCAACGAGGTCCTAGTGAATGTGCAGCATTATATGCTCCAGTGGACACGATCACGTTTCACTGCAGTGGACGCAAGACGTTTTTTTTTTTTTTTTGAATTAAAAAAAAAGTGAGCCTAGAAATTTTTGAATCATCTTTTCCTTCCTTCGAGAAAAGTTTTATATCTTGAATTTTTCTGTTGTGTACTCACTGCAGCATCCAGCAGCTCTTCGTCATGCTCGCCCTGAGGTTCTCCGAGAGCGTTTCGACCAGTGGCTTTTTGTGAAATCGAAGACCTGACGGCCGCGAAGGCCCCCCCCCTGGGGTCTGAAAGGCTCGTCAGCTGTGCATGAGGCTTGGTCACCGGCGGTACTTGGAGTGGAACCTCCACATCGCCGGCTATTTTCTGTTTCCCGACCAGCATCTAGAGGTCATCTTCCGCGTCATCGAGTAGCCGGCCGCTCTCCGTGGTGGCGGGACGGCTGTTGATGGGTGAAAAGCCGGAGAAGATAATCAGGGCATGCTGTCTGCCAGCAGCGAAGAGCCGCATGCAGACGGCAATCGGTCGGCTCCGAAGAGGCGGTGCGACGATGGCGACGTGCTGTCTCAGACGGCGGTAGAAGAAGAGGGAGGAACGATGCAACCTCAGCTGCAGATCGCTCAGCAGCAATCTCCGGATGGCAGTCATGAGGATCGTCAAAGCAATCTCGTTCCACCGAGCGAAGAGGAAGGCAGAAAGCGCCAACGGGTGACCGGTGGAGATGCCCTCTCGGCAGAGAGAGACAGTCCGTGTCGTCGAGCTGGTTCTCCGCATTTGGAAGCGTCGACTAACGTTTTGTTGATGGCATCGCCATCGCCATCGCAGACGGAGCAACCAATCACTACCAGCAGGGATAAGGACAGCGGAGATGGAGATGGACTTTCCAGTCTTGAGAGCGGTCATGGTAACGGTCGTTACGACGAAGTAGGCAAAGGGCTGCACGTCGCCGTGGGGGGATTAGATTGCATAGGCGAACGATCCGACGAGGAGCAGCGCAATCCGCAAAAGCAGAAGCAGAAGTCTGACGACTTGGATCGAGAAGCAGAAGTACTAGCTCGCGTTAGTGACGAATTTGAAGTGTTCAAGGCGAAGGTAGAACTCGTGAGCGAACAATTCAGAGAGTTTAAAGCGAGGGTGGCGGAGAAGGTGAGGAGTCGTCTCAGGGCAGCTGCCAAAACGAAGGGTGTTCCGTACGACGAGCAGACATGGGAATCCAAATCTCTCCATGCTCTACCGCCTCCTTCTCCTCTTTCTCCTCTTCCTCATCCTCATCCTCCTGCAGATATTGACTTCTTCCTACCGACCTCTTCTCAAAGCCCTCGTTTTGCAAGTGCAAGCTCTGGCAACTCTTGCAGCGCTTCGGCTCTGACGTCTTCGGCATCAGCAGCGGCGGCATGCTCGTCCGCGTCGGCGGGGGGCGGCGCCCAAGGTTGCAGTAGCGGTGGGGAAGCTTCCGCTGCCCCCGTGCGCTTGTCTCCGCCGGCATCTGGTGGCGTCATTGAAGAAGATCTGCGCGACCTTAAGTCTAACGCGCTGCCGACCGAGGACGCAACCACTGTCGTCGAGGAGACTGCGCGCCAACAACCTGAGCATCAGGAGAAGCAAGAAGAGGAGGGAGCATCGGCGAACGAACCTCCTGATCAAGGAGGAACCTCCTCTCTTCCGCTGAACGAACTTTCGCCAACGCTGCCCACCTCGGCCGCTTCTACCGACTCCGCGGAAAAACAAACACAGCACGTCTCGGCTTTGCCGCTACCGCGAGATGGATGCGATCTTGCTGTCAATGGTGGTGGTGGTGGAACCGTCGTCGTGGTGGCAGCGGAGTCCACTGCCGAGGGTGGCGAGGAGAAGATCTCCGAAGGTGCCGACAAAGTTGATGTCATCGAAAAAGAAAGCGGTCACGGCGGTGAGGAAGTGCCGATTGCTGACAAAGACAAGCCACCAGAGGAAGTGGGCGAGGAGGGGGACGGAAAAGGGTTTGCGGCGTTCCAAGCAGCAGCTGCTGCGCCTGAGGCAGAGGTCGGAGGAGTGGCGGAGGGCGAAGGAGTGGCGGAGGGCGGAGGAATGGTGGAGGGGGAGGGAGCGGCAAGCACATGCTCACCCAAGCTTGCTGCAGATGAAGTGCCGCGCACACCTGTAGCGAAGATTGTCCCCAGCGGAATTCCTAGTGATGATCCCGCGGCAGGCTACATCTCACCTCAGAGCATTAAGCGTATTATCAAACTCCAGATGTCTGACGTTTCGGCAGGCACGAGTGGTTGTCCCTTGCCGGAAGATGACCCCGAACCCTCGCCGCCTGTACACCGTTCATCTCCGCCTCTTCGTCTCGGCGGATCAACGCTGCAAATACAGGTCAAAAGCGTCGAGATCGGAACGGACGAACGATCTCTCATCTCCCCTTCATCTCTCTCTGAGCTGTCTCTTCGGGAGGAGGAGGAGGAGGGGGAGGTGGTTTCTCCTCACCCGCTGCTGTCCTCCTCCTCCCTTTCATCTGAGACCCCACCTCTTACTACTCTACGTGCTGCAGATGATAACGACGTCGGCTGGACAGAAGTGCCATGCGCCAGCTCGCAGACGTTTCCGCCCCCATCCCCTTCAAGGAATGACATATTCAGCGAAGAGAATATGGGCGCGAATAAGGAATCCAGTGTTTGTACCGGTATCGAGGAGGATCGAAGTACTGCCGCAAGAGTGGCGGAGGCTGCAGCGCAAGCTGCCGAGGAGAAAGATGCTGCAGATGCAGACGATCAGAGGAAGAGCGTCGGAGCCCTCAGCGATGCTGCAGGACAGGAGCAGGTGGAAGAAGAAGATGCAGTTGGCCCGGAAGAGGGGAAGGGCACCGCGACTTTGGAAGATTCTGAAGCAGGAAAAGAAAAGCCGAGCTGGGACGGTCAGCGTAGTGACTCGATTGGGGATCTTCCTAAGGGAAAAGACGAACGTGTGAGCACGGTTGCCGTGAATGGCAAAGGCAATGGGTTAGCGGGTGCTCCTGCATCCTCCTCCTCGTCTCACAGTAGGACGACAGTGTCTGCTCCCAGTGCCGTTACTCTACATTTGCCGAACGATACTCTGTCTGTAGTTTTTTCCTTTCTGCCGGTGCAGGATCGGCTGTTCACCGTCCCTTGTGTGTGTCGTCAATGGCGCGCTGTTGCCTCGCGGCCCAAAAACTACAGAGTCGTGGATGCGCTCGACTGGACAGAAAGCCGGATCTTGTGCGCCAGTCTCTTGACCTTCTTCCCCGTCCGCCCGCTGTGGCGGCTGGTCAATGGTCGGATCACACGGAGCGCAGCGGACGAGTTGTTGAGGAGGTTGGTGTACATGAGTCGCGGTCATCTCGAGGTACTGCGGTCGAAGAACTGCTCTTCGGCAGGGCTGTGGTATCTTGCTGTCCCTTCCTCCTCCTTAACGAGCAGTGGTGGTCCCTGTGTCCCCTCTGCCTTAAGGTTGACGGAGCTTGAGCTTCTCGACCTTCTCGAGCCCGTCGACGATCCGCTCTGCCGCCTTCTCTCCCCACGTCTGAAGCGCCTTGTCCTGTCCCCCGCGTACCCAGAGTCCCACAGTTGCGGGGATGGCAGCCAGCATGTAATAACGGACAAGTTGTTGTATGCTCTGGCGGAGACGTGTCCGGAGCTTACCCACCTGAACATCAGGGAATGCCGAGGAGTGACGGACAAAGGACTGATTGCTGTCGCACGCCGTTGCCCGGCGCTCAGAGAAGTAGGGTTGGAGGGATGCCTGGTGAAGGAAGAGGATGCGGTGTGGGTGACGGAGGCATTTTCCCGCAATTGTCCCTCTCTCACAGCCGTGAACTTATCGCAGAGCGATCTTCCTGGCGACGCATTGCCGCACCTCTTCGGTCGCTGCAGGCGGCTTGCCCACGTTAGCTTGACTCATCTTTGGTCCAATCCCCATTCGTCTCATGTCACGAAGGCATTGGAGAGCATGGGAGAAGTGAGGGAGTTGGCGGTGTCGAGCAATCGGTGGTTCGGTGATGCGGAGTCGATCGAGCTTGCGAAATGGGCCAAGCATCTCACCTCGCTCGACGTCACACAGACCTCCGTGGGCGATGTGGGAATGGGAGCAATTGTGGGCAAACTGGGGTGGCAGCTGCGGTCTCTGCGTGCTACGGACTGCAAGATCTCGGATGCGTCTGTCCTGGCCATAACCAGCTGTTGCTTCGAACTGCGGCATTTGCAGCTCGGCTCAGCGAATATGACGGATTCGGCTGCATCTCTTATTGCCCGGGGCACGTGTCGGAAACTCACAACCCTGCGACTCTGGTCCCGTACCAATCCTTCTCAGAACCCATGCTTCCAGTCCATGTCCGACCTTCGTCTGCTTTGCTACCGGATCCCGAACATTAGCGTTCTGTCTCTGGCGCTGTGTGACTTGTCCAAATCTGGGGTAGGAGGAGGAGGACGGGCAGGCGATGGCAGCGGGAGCCGCGACGTGTCGCAGGCGAATGGGGGAGGAGGGGGACTAGAGGGCAACTGCTGGACTGGCGCTGTGGAAAAGTGTAGCAGTGCTTCGTTCCTTGACGGGATATCTGCGCTCGCTGGAACCCTAACTAGACTGAGATTAGTGGGCCGTCAGTCATGGCGGTTCTCGGAGTTTGGCGCGGAATTCTGCCAGCTCTTGAGCAAATGCGAGAAGCTGGAGGCCATTGATCTGCAGTACATAAATGGCATCAACGATTCAGATCTGCTGGCGTGGGGTGATGCTGCGCCTCGACTGCAGTGGGCCATGTTTCACTATTGCGAGCGGGTGACCAGTGAAGGGGTGAAAGCTCTCCTCTTGCGCTGCAAGAAGCTGCGTGGAGTGAGAGCGCACTGCAGCCCAATTCCAGAGGGAAAATCGTGGGAGTGGTTCTCAGAAGTACAGGTGGCACTCAGAGGAGGAAGGGTCCTGGATGGCCGCCGGCGATTGACAGATCCGTCCGCCCTTTTTTGAGCCAAATCTCCTCTCCCTCCCTCTCTCTCTCTCTCTCTGTGTTATCCTGTGGGAATTTGCTTGACGGCTTCGGCTTTCTTTCCCGCTCTTCTTTTCTCTCTTTCCCATCGATTTCTCGTGTCGCTGGCTGCATCAGTGCAACGGGAGATAAATGGAGAGACGATGGTTTGCCATTTGGATACAGGTGGGGGGCCACGGATTAGACCTGGGATGGGGACGGAGGGGCATATCGGAGGCGCAGGACGAGACAGCGGGAGCAGGGGAAGAGAGGGCGAAGCACAGCCGGAGAGGTCTCTGGGCGGGCATGCTTCAGGCCGTCTTGCACGGGACATGTTGACAGAGGCTGGCGTGGGTTGCTTGGGCATGCGTGTTTCAGGCCGTCGAGCGCAGAACGAGTAGAGAGAGTCTGGCGTGATTAGCCCTACAGTCATCTGTGATCATGCTCTGCGCCTTCCGGTCGGCATTGAGCTTGTCTCATTAGCAGTTGCCTCTGTGGGCCTGCTCACTCGCGTATGTACGGTTGTTCACACTGTTGCATGAGTTAGCTTGCACTTTGCGGGCGGGCGGATGGTTGCGTACAGATTGCAACATTTGTTCTTGGGTGGGTATTGTGGGTGTTCGTAAATGAGCTTGAGCTCTTGCGCGTGATCATGCATGAGCCTCCGCGTGCCCTGCTGGTTCGGTCTACCCCCTTATTTTCCTCTGAAAGCAATTGCAAATTGCAAGTGGCGGTTGTCTGGCTTGGTGGGAGAAGCTAGCAATCGTCAGGAGCATCGATCATTGGCTTTTTTGAATTAGAGCATCAATCATTGGCTCTCGAACCGGAGAAGTCTTTTCACACTAGCAATCGTGCGAAGCATTCCTGAGCCTTCTCGTCCCTCTCCGCCTGTGCAGCACTCTTGTTGTCATACGATTGTTGATAAGAAGTATTGCCTTTTGCACCTCAACGCGAAGAGCCAAGGCCGCTGCATCTCATGTTAGCTTGGCAGTCAGTTCCGTTGACGGAATTGTGCCACCTGTCGTGTTCGATGTTGTCAAGTCTTCTGTTTGGCAAGACTTTTGGCTTCTACATGTTGATTGATCGGTGGGGACCGCGGAGGACGCCATGTTTGGCTTTCGTCCCTCCAGCAGTTGTCCCTCACTGATGAGTTGTCCGTGTTTCATCATCGTTGTGCAGATCGTCACCGAACTACAAAGATAGCCAAGTGGTCAGCCAGTCCATCCGTGCGTATCTTTTCGTCCGTTGGCTGTCGTTTGTCTTCCCCTGTACAACTACCCCCAGAAGACAAGCTTAACCCCGTTGTCATGAACAGCAAATAGGTAGATTAGATATTAGACAAGTGTGCGACATCGTTTTTGTTTTAGGAGTCAGAGCGAAATCCGGTTTGAGTGCTGCACCGTTTTTCATCCATACTCCCTCTCTCTGTGTCTCCCTGGTCAACAGAGAGAAAGGTCGTTTGCCCTGTCTTGAGCTGCGCAGCTTTTCAGCGGCAACCTGTAGATCCTTCCCGCTCTCGAGTACAAGATGTATGCTTCTTCGACCGTCATCTAATCTCGAGTTTGCAAATGACGGTAAGTTATGTATTCTCTCTGTAAAGGTTTTCATTTTGGGTGATGAAATTGCCCTTATACCAGATCAACTTCCCTTCGAGGGCTGACGATTTTTCTGAGCGATTACTGTGAAACTTGCTGTATTCAGGAGCTTGTGGATATGGGGGAATCTGCATTTTCGAGGGGAAGAGAAATCGACCGGTCGACCGGCTGTGATTAGGCGTGGTTGGTGTGACCCTGTTTCGCTGGGGCCACTCGAAACCAATTTTTGAGCCAGTGGTCAACTGCTCGATCCCCAAGGCGTAAAGGGTTGGCCCCCTTTCCATCCCCTCGAGTTCATCCATTCCCCGTGCCCTTCCCTTTTGTCCTCTGTTTATCAGTTCCCCTACCCCAAACATGCTCTGCCACCTCACTGAGTCTAGCATTGACTGCTCTGCCTTGTGTATATATTTTGCCCTGTTCTTCATTCTTCATGAAGATCTGCAAACAGGAATTTTTTTCTTCGATGTGAACTGAGAAGTAGGTCTTATCACCTTTTGTGTCAAGGCCATTAATTGTCTGTGACATGAGCTGAGAACCACCTCTCTCGCTCTCTCTCTCTCTCTCTTTCGCGTGCGCGTGCGCCCGCACATCGTGTTCATTTTTCTCTCGCCCATGAGGCTAGCTACCTGATTCCTTATGCGATCCTGTCTGTCCGTCGCGCATCCACATTCTTCTTTGCTGCTTTGCAATGTCTACACCCAGCTTTCCTTCTCGAGAGGGAAGAGAGAGACGCTTGGATGATCTTGTGTCCTTTGTACTACTGGCTACCGTCATTACGTCTCTATAGCTGTGTTGTCATCATGCCATCAAGGGACGGGCTAGTGAGAATTTTACAAACTATGTAGATAAATTCTCTAATTCCCTAGGCTGGTCCCCGAGCCGCCTGGCGACCTGGACGTTGCGGGGCGCCGGGCCGCCTGGCCGGTTGTGCCGCCGGTTGACCACGGGGCAGTCCCAGCGCATGACAGGTGGGGGGAGGGGGCGGGAGGGCTTTTTTCGACACCAGGGCCCTTTTCACCCCCCCAGGACGTGTGGTAGGCCTAAAAAAATAGAAAACGGGTCCGGTAGGCCCGCCCTGAACGATTCAAAATCACGGCCGATCTCGAGAGATCGGCGGGGCCCAGATAGGCCGTGCTTTTGAATCATTCAGGGTGGGAACTACCGGACCCGTTTTTGACTCTTTTTGGCCTTGCTCCACTACACAACACTCTAGATGCATTTGGACGCTTCTTGGGCCGCGTGCATGCATGTAGAGAGTTGTGTAGTGGAGCGAGACCAAAGCTCCCTTCCCTGTGTTTGCCTTTCCACTACCCCCGACCTACCCCGCCCATTCTAACGACGACTGCCGGCAGTTTGCGCGCCCTCGTCTCCTGCAGCCCGTCGTGACGCTGTCGCCTTCTGCTGCTAGCCAGCACGCCATCGCCCCAGCCCGTCATCGCGCCTGCGCACTCCGCGAGCCATCGCGTCAGCACGCTTACAATGGCCTCCACCGGTAAGTCGTTAGTTAGTTGTTCTTCTCACAGAGTGAGATAGATAGATAGATAGATAGACACACACACACACACACACACACACACACACACACACACACACACACACACACACACACACACACACACACACAC